GCGAGACGCATTCAACAGCTAGACAGGATGACAGAGGAAGCCGCGACCGCCACCGCACGACAAAGGGACGCCACAGACCGCCAGGAACATTACTTCAACCTCCGCCGGCGGGAATGGCGCCCCGCTCCCGGAGACCAGGTCATGCGCCGAGAACACCCGCTATCGAAAGCAGGCGAACACTTCGCGGGCAAATTGGCACCAAAATACTCCGGACCGTATACCGTTGACCGCGCAATCTCACCGGTCATATACCGACTACGGGATCACAACAATCGACTGGTGGGGACGGCCCACGTGAAGGATCTCAAGGGGGTGTAACGTCACACAAAAACAAACGGAACAGGGTATATAAGGGAGCACTCGCACCGATCACCAAAAAGAAAGCTACAGCATGGGCAAGCTACGCGCACGGCTAGAGAAGATGGCCCCCAGGAGGAGAGCTCCGGGACACCCGCCGATACCGGGACTGACGCCGCAAGCTCCACGCTATGTGCCACCCGCCGAAGCGAGACCACGGACGGCCCGCGCCTCGGTAAGCGTCGAGCAGCGAGGACGGGCACCCGCGGTCGTGAGAGCGAGGACGACCGTCTCCAGACAGGAGCAGTTATACCGAACGGCCGCCCAGACAACAGCCGCCCTCGCCTCGGAACTCGATGCGCTCTTTGGCTCATTGTCCGACCTGGAGGACGAGCCGATGCCCACCGCCGAGCCGCCCACAACGACAACCGTGGGGACGACGACGGAGTTGCCGACGCCTCCACCAACACCCGCTACAACGCCGGAACCGGTACCCGGGACGAACCCGACGCCAGGCCCGCCTCCCGGCTACGGCTACTTTACCGGCAACCACGGAGGCGAATTCAGCGGACTCCTCAGCGGCGTACCATGGCAGCGCATCCGTCCGGGACAGCGGTACCGTCACCACGTCGCCGGACGCACCGTCATCATAAAGCGCCTACGGAACGGGGAAGTACAGCTCCGCGAGCGAACCTAAAAGTTTTTTTTGTAT